GGGGTACTGGGAATGGGGATACCAGGGGTACCGGGACGGGTACAACGGTACCGGGACCGGGAATGGGGGTACCGGGAATGGGGGGTACTGGGAACGGGGGTACCGGGAACGGGGGTACCGGGAACGCGTACAACGGTACCGGAACGGGAACGGGGGAATGGGTCTGTGGGGGGTTTACGGGGGTTTATGGGGGGTTCATTGGGGGGTTTATGGGGGGTTCATGGGGGGTTATGGGGGGTTATTGGGGGTGTACGGGGGGTTCATGGGGGTTCACGGGGACACGGGGCACGGGGGTCCCGGGGGTGTGCGGGGGCACAGAGGGGTGACGGGTGCCCGTGCCCCGCTGCCGCCGTGCCCAGACGTGGCCGTGGGGGCCCCGCTGGGGGCCGAGGGGCGCCGCGGGCTCGTGTTCATCTTCCGCGGGGGCGGCGCGGGGCTGCGGGCCCGGCCCGCGCAGCTGCTGCGGGGCGTGGGCGCGCCCCGGGGCCAGCCCGACTTCTTCGGGGCCGCCCTGCGCGGGGCCAGCGACCTGGACGGCAACGGCTACCCGGGTGAGGGCCGGCGGCCACCCCCTGTGTCACCTGTGTCACACCCTGTGTCACCCCCTGTGTCACCCCCGTGTCACCCATGTCACCCCCAGTATCACCCCTGTCACCTCCCCCCCAACGGCTACCCGGGTGAGGGCCGGCGGCCACCTGTGTCACACCCTGTGTCACCCCCCGTGTCACCTGTGTCACCCCCTGTGTCATTCCCGTGTCACCCATGTCATCCCCAGTATCACCCCTGTCACCCCCCCCAACGGCTACCCGGGTGAGGGCCGGCGGCCACCTGTGTCACCCCCTGTGTCACCTGTGTCACCTGTGTCATCACCTGTGTCATCCCCATGTCACCTGTGTCACCCCCAATATCACCCCTGTCCCCATCCCCGACATCCTCCCTCTGCCATCCCTGTGCCTGTCCCTCAGCTGGTGTCCCCCTGTCCCCGTGTCCCTGTTCCCGTGCCCCCCCAGTGTCCCCCTGTCCCCCTGTCCCTGTCCCTGTCCCCCTGGTGTCCCCCTGTTCCCCCCAGTGTCCCCCTGTCCCCGTGTCCCTGTCCCTGTCCCCGTGCCCCCCCGGTGACCCCCCTGTCCCCTCAGATCTCCTGGTTGGCGCCTTCGGGGCGGACGCCGTCGTGGTTTACAGGTGAGTGCCACTGTCCCCTGTGTCCCCTGTGTCCCCTGTGTCCCCTGTGTCCCCTGTGTCCCCTGTGTCACCTGTGTCACCTGTGTCCCCTATGTCCCCCGTGTCCCCGTGTCCCGCTGTCACGGCGCCGCCCGGGGGTCCCGGGGGTCCCGGGGGTCCCGGGGGTGCCGGGGGTCGCTGACCCCGTGTCCCCCCAGGGGCCGCCCCATTGTCCAGGCCAGCGCCACCCTGGTCATTGTCCCCACCATGTTCAACCCTGAGGAGCGCGGCTGCGTCCTGCCCGGCGGCCAGCACGTGTCCTGGTGGGTGGCACAGGGGACAGGGGACACGGGGGGACACGGGGGGACACGGGGGGACACGGGGGGACACGGGGGGACAGCAGGGACAGCGGGGACAACGGGGACAGCGGGGACAGCGGGGACACAGGGGGACACGGGGGGACACGGGGGGACACGGGGACACGGGGGGGACACGGGGGGACTCGGGGACACGGGGACACGGGGGGACACGGGGGGACATGGGGGGACACGGGGACACGGGGGGATTTGGGGGGACAGAGCGGGGACAGAGCGGGGACACGGGGGAACAGAGTGGGGACATGGCAGGGACAGCAGGGACACGGGGGGACAATGGAGAGGGAATGGGGGACACTGGCAGGGGCCACCGGGGCTTCCCAGGGACATGGGGACACTGGTGGGGGGACAGGGGACATGGGGACACTGCGGCATCCCTGGGTGTCCCTGCTGGGGACAGCCAGGGGTGGCCGGGGGGACACCGAGGGGACACGTGGTGCCACCTCATTGTCACCTTCCGCCAGCATCAATGTCACCTTCTGCCTCAACGCCTCCGGACGTCACCTGCCCGGGCCCATCGGTGAGGGGACAGAGGGGGGCAGAGGGGGGACAGGGGACAGGGTGGGGACAGGGGACAGCGGGGATGTCCCTAGCATGTCCCCGTGTCCCCAGGGGGTGGCACTGCGGCCCTGGAGACAGGACGGGGACACCGGGGCTGTCGCTGACGTGTCCCCGCGGTGTCCCCAAGGGTGGCACTGCAGCCCTGGGGACAGGACGGGGACACCGGGGCTGTCCCTAACGTGTCCCCGCGTGTCCCCGCGTGTCCCCGCGTGTCCCCAGGGCTGGCGCTGGAGCTGAGCGTGGACGGGGCCAAGGCGGGGGGGGCGCGGCGCGCGCTGTTCCTGGGGGGGGGCGCGGGGGGGGCGCCCCCCTCCCCCACCCGGAACCTGTCCCTGGAGGTCCCCAACGGGGGCGCCCCCCGGTGCCGGACCCTGCCCGTGTTCCTCAGGGTAAGGGGACCCCGAAACTGACCGAAACTGCCCCAAAACTGACCCCAAAACTGACCCGAAACTGCCCCAAAACTGACCCAAAACTGACCCGAAACTGCCCCAAAAACTGACCTGAAACTGACCCGAAACTGCCCAAAAACTGCCCCAAAACTGCCCAAAAACTGACCCGAAACTGCCCCAAAACTGCCCCAAAAACTGACCCAAAACTGCCCAAAAACTGCCCCAAAAACTGACCCGAAAACTGCCCCAAAACTGCCCCAAAACTGCCCCAAAAACTGACCCGAAACTGCCCCAAAAACTGCTCCAAAACCGCCCCGGGACCCCAAAGCTGCCCGGGTCCCCTCGTGTCACCCTCGTGTCACTCTGGGGTGCCCGTGTCACCTCCCTATCACCCCTGGGACCCCCGGTGTCCCCTCACTGTCCCCCTGGGGTGTCCCCTCACTGTCCCTGTCCCTGTCCCCAGAACGAGTCCGAGTTCCGGGACACGCTGTCACCATCCCGGTGTCACTGTGCTGTCCCCTCGCTCTCCCCTCACTGTCCCCTCACTGTCCCCATGGTGTCCCCGTGTCCCCAGAACGAGTCCGAGTTCCGGGACAAGCTGTCACCATCCCGGTGTCACTGTGCTGTCCCCTCACTGTCCCCTCACTGTCCCCAGAACGAGTCCGAGTTCCGGGACAAGCTGTCGCCCATCCCGGTGTCCCTGAGCCTGGCCCTGGACCCGGCCGTGTCCCCTCCCCCACCGGGGCTGTCACCGCTGCTGGCCCCGGCCACCCGCACGCGCCTGGAGGCCAAGGTCAGTGCTGGCTCTGTCACCTGTGTCACCTGTGTCACCTCTGTGTGTCACCTGTGTCACCTGTGTCACCTGTGTCACCTCTGTGTCACCCGGCGTCATCTGGGTGTCGCCTGTGTCCCTCATCACCCAGCTGTCCCCTCTGTCCCTGCTGTCCCCTCTGTCCCTGCTGTCCCCTCTGTCCCTGTTGTCCCCAATGTCCCCTGATGTCCCCCCTGCTGTCCCCTGATGTCCCCCCTGCTGTCCCCAATGTCCCCCCTGCTGTCCCCAATGTCCCCTCTGCTGTCCCCTGTGTCCCCAGGCCCACATCCAGCTGGACTGCGGCGAGGACAACGTCTGTGTCCCTGACCTGCAGCTCGAGGCCAGCGCGTAAGGGGACACGGGGACATGGGGACACGGGGACAGTGGGGACACAGGGGAATCGGGGAGGGGTGGCCGTGCCCAGGGTGTCCCGGGGGTGTCCCCATGGATGTCCCCCCAATGTCCCCAGGGACCGCCGGGCCATGTTCCTGGGGGGGTTTTGGGGCTGTCCCCATGGATGTCACCCCAGTGTCACCCCAGTGTCCCCCCAATGTCCCCAGGGACCGCCGGGCCGTGTTCCTGGGAGGTTTTGGGGGGGTTTTGGGGCTGTCCCCATGGATGTCACCCCAGTGTCCCCCCAATGTCCCCAGGGACCGCCGGGCCGTGTACCTGGGGGACAGGAACAGCCTCAATGTCACCTTCGTGGCGCGGAACGTGGGCGAGGGCGGCGCCTACGAGGCCGAACTGCTGCTGCGGCCCCCCCCGGGGGCGCTGTACTCGGGGGTGCTGCGGCCCCACGGGGTGAGGGCTGGGGGGCACCCGGGGAGAGGGGGTTTGGGGGTGCCCCAGGGGTGGGGAGGGGGTAAAGGTAATGGGGGAGGGGGATAAAGGTAATGGGGGGGGGATAAAGGTAATGGGGGAGGGGGTTTGGGGGTGCCCCAGGGGTGGGGGGGGGGATAAAGGTAATGGGGGAGGGGGTTTGGGGGTGCCCCAGGGTGGGGAGGGGGATAGAGGTAATGGGGGAGGGGGTTTGGGGAGATTTGGGGTGCCCCAGGGGTGGGGAGGGGGATAGAGGTAATGGGGGAGGGGGATAAAGGTGTTGGGGGGCACCCCAGGGTGGGGAGGGGGTCGCACATCTTGTGGGGAGGGGGTTTGGGGGGTGTGAGAGTCGGGGGGGCAGCCCAAAGGTGGGGAGGGGGTCGCAGGTATCGGGGGGAGGGGGTTTTGGGGGGCTCAGAAGCGCCTGGGGGGGGTCAGGGGGTGTCCCCAAGAATGGGGGGGGGTCACCACCGCTCTCCCCCTCCCCAGAATTTCTCGGCCCTGAGCTGTGAGCTGGGGGGGGGCAACGGCTCCGACCCCCTGATCTGCGACCTGGGGAACCCCATGAAGGCGGGGGCCAGCGTGAGTGGGGCGGGGGGCTCGGGGGGCTTGGGGGGATTGGGGGGGTTTGGGGGGCTTGGTAAGGGTTTGGGGGGGTTCAGGGGGCAGATTTGGGGGGGTTTCGGGGGCTTGGTAAGGGTTTGGGGGGGGTTTGGGGGGACTTGGGGGGGCTGGGGGGTTTGGGGAAGTCTGGGGGGTTTGGGGGGTCTGGGGGGGTTTGGGAGGATTTTTGGGGGAGATTTGTGGGGGTCTTTGGGAGGATTTTTGGGGTTTGGAGCATCTCGAGGGGCTGGGGGGGGATTTGGGGGACTTTGAGGGGTTTTAGGGGGATCTGGGGGCTTTGTGGGGTTCTGGGGGGTTTAGGGAGGCTGGGAAGGTTTTGGGGGGCACAGGGGAGGTTTGGGGGGCTGGGGGGGGGTCCGGGCTGACCCCCCCGTGTCCCCACGGCCGCAGATCCGGGGGGGGCTGCGCTTCACCCTCCCCCACCTGAGCGACAGCAGCGGCAGCGTCACCTTCGAGCTGCAGATCCGCAGGTCCGGCACGGGGGGCACCGGGGCCACCCCCGATTTGGGGTCGGGGTGTCCCCAAATTGGGCAGGGGGGTCCCCAGGGGTCCCCGGGGGTCCCCGGGCTGACCCCCCTCCCCCCGCAGCAAGAACGCCAACAACTCGCAGAGCCCCGTGGTGGCCGTGGCGCTGGCGGTGAGGGCGGCCACCAGGGTGTCCGTGCTGGGGTGAGTGACACTGGGGACATTGGGGACACTGGGGACATTGGGGACAGCCAGGGGACACGGGGACATTGGGGACATTGGGGACAGCCAGGGGACACGGGGACATTGGGGACACGGGGACAGCCAGGGGCCACCAGGGTGTCCGTGCTGGGGTGAGTGACAATGGGGACAGTGGGGACATTGGGGACATTGGGGACATGGAGACAGCCAGGGGACATTGGGGACAATGGGGACAGTGGGGACAGCCAGGGGACATTGGGGACACTGGGGACATGGGGACATGGGGACAGCCAGGGTGTCCGTGCTGGGGTGAGTGACAGGGGGGACATTGGGGACACGGGGACAACCAGGGGACATTGGGGACATTGGGGACATTGGGGACACTGGGACAGCCTGGGGACATTGGGGACACAGGAACACCAGGGGCCACCAGGGTGTCCGTGCTGGGGTGAGTGACAGGGGACAATGGGGACATTGGGGACACGGGGACAGCCAGGGGCCACCAGGGTGTCCGTGCTGGGGTGAGTGACAATGGGGACATTGGGGACACGGGGACAGCCAGGGGACATTGGGGACACGGGGACAGCCAGGGGACACGGGGACATGGGGACATTGGGGACACAGGGACACCAGGGTGTCCGTGCTGGGGTGAGTGACACTGGGGACAGTGGGGACATGGGGACTTTGGGGACAATGGGGACATTGGGGACACTGGGGACATGGGGACATGGGGACACCAGGGTGTCCATACTGGGGAGAGTGACAGGGGACATGGGGACAGCCAGGGGACAATGGGGACACGAGGGTGGCCCTGGGAGCTGTCACATCCCCCCTGGGTGCCTTGAGGTGAGTGACAGAGGGGACATGGAGGGGACACAAGGGGGGACACGGAGGGGAAACACAGGGATGCACAGGGACACAGAGGGGACACGGAGGGACACAGAGGGGACACAAGGGGGGACACGGAGGGGACACGCGCGGCGCTAACCCCCCGGTGTCCCCTCAGGGTGTCCCGGCCCGACGTTGTCACCGTCCCCGAGGGGGGGTGGGGACCCGACCCCCCCCAGCGGCTGCAGGACCTGGGGCCACCCGTGGAGCACGTCTACGAGGTGGGGACACCGCGGCCACCACCGTGTCCCCAGGCTGGCCTCACCATGTCCCCAGCCTGGGGCCTCGGTGTCCCCAGCCCCGGGACCACACCCCCGTAATTCTGGGGGTCCCATGTCCCCAACCACCCCATGTCCCCAACCCCCCCATGTCCCCAACCCAGGGGTCCTTGTGTCCCAAACATGGAGTCACATGTCCCCAGCCCTGAGGTCCCCATGTCCCCAATATGGGGATCCCCACGTCCCCAATCCCGGGCTCGCCGTGTCCCCAAATCGGGGCTGTCCCCCCATCCCCAACCCCTGGGGGACCCCAGGTCCCGACCCCGTGTCCCCTGTGCCCCCCCCATGTCCCTCCATGTCCCCAGTGCCACCCCCATGCCCCCGTGTCCCCCATGCCCCCCCGTGTCCCCCATGTCCCCCAATGCCCCCAATGCCCCCCGTGCCCCCCATGTCCCCCGTGTCCCCCGTGCCCCCCGTGTCCCCCATGTCCCCAATGCCCCCGTGTCCCCAGTGCCACCCCCATGCCCCCCATGTCCCCAGTGCCACCCCCGTGCCCCCTATGCCCCCCGTGCCCCCTGTGTCCCCGTGTCCCCAGTGCCAGCCCCGTGTCCCTAATGCCACCCCCATGTCCCCCAATGCCCCCAATGCCCCCCGTGCCCCCCATGTCCCCCGTGCCCCCCGTGCCCCCCGTGCCCCCCATGTCGCCAATGCCCCCCGTGCCCCCCGTGCCCCCCGTGCCCCCCGTGTCCCCCCGTGTCCCCAGTGCCCCCGTGTCGCAGGTGGTGAACGAGGGTCCCAGCGCCATCAGCCAGGGCACGCTGGAGCTCAGCTGTCCCCTGGGCCACCGCGGCCACCCCCTGCTCTATGTCACCGGCCACTCGGGGCTGCACAACTGCTCGGCCAGCCACGGCAGCGACCCGCTGCGCCTGGCGGTGCGGACACCGGGACACGGGACAGCGGGACATTGGGGTCACCGGGACCGGGGACAGCGGGACACGGGACATTGGGGACAGCGGGACACCGGGACACCGGGACCGGGGACACCGGGGACAGCGGGACACGGGACAGCGGGACAGCGGGACACCGGGACACGGGACATTGGGGACACCGGGACAGCGGGGACATGGGACACGGGGACAGCGGGACACGGGACATTGGGGACACCGGGACCGGGGACACAGGACACCGGGGGGACCGGAACACCGGGACACCGGGGACAGCGGGACCGGGACACGGGACTGCGGGACAGCGGGACAGCGGGACAGCGGGACAGAGGGGGGATTGGGGACACCGAGACAGCGGGACATGGGACAGTGGGACAGCGGGACACCGGGACACCGGGACAGCGGGAGGATCGGGGACACCGGGACACCGGGACACTGGGGCCACTGGGGCCACTGGGTGGCACTGGGGACATCAGGAGGTGCTGGGGGTGGCCAGGACTCTCCCCTCTGTCCCCCTGGCTGTCCCCAGCGCTGTCCCCCTGTCCCCAGCGCTGTCCCTCTGTCCCACAGGAGCGGGAACAGAGCCCCGGGCCGCACGTCCTGCAGCGCCGGGACATCGGGGACATTGGGGACAGCGGGGACACGCTGGTGAGTGGCATGGGGTGACCCCGGTGACCGCGGGGTGACCCTGGGGTGACCCCGGTGACAGTGGTGACCCCGGTGACCCCCGGGTGGCCGCAGGGCTGTCCCGAGGCCGAGTGTTTCCGCCTGAGCTGCCCCTCGGGGGGGCTGGAGCGGCAGCAGCGCGTCACCCTGAGGCTGAGCTTCCGCCTGCGGACCCCCCCCCTGCGCCAGGTGAGACCCCAAAAACTGCCCTGGGACCCCCCCGGGGGCAACAGAACTGCCCCGAGACCCCCAAACTGCCCCGGGACCCCTGGGGACCCCCCCCCTGCGCCAGGTGAGACCCCCAAACTGCCCCGGGACCCCCGAACTGCCCTGGGACCCTAAAACTGCCCTGGGACCCCCCCGGAACTGCCCCGGGACCCCCCAAACTGCCCCGGGACCCCCCCGAAACTGCCCCGGGACCCCCCCGGGGACCCCCTAACTGACCCGGGACCCCCCAACTGCCCCGGGACCCCCCCGGAACTGACCCGGGACCCCCGAACTGCCCCGGGACCCCCCCGGAACTGACCCGGGACCCCCGAACTGCCCCGGGACCCCCAAACTGCCCCAAGACCCCCCGGGGACCCTCTGGAAACCCCCCAGGAGTGGCCCTTGGGTGTCCCCTGTGTGTCCCCTGTGTCCCCACGTGTCCCGCTGTCCACTGACGGTGTCCTCTTGTCCCTGACGGTGTCCCCATGTCCCCGTGTCCCCCCGTGTCCCCCCTGTCCCGCTGTCCCTGACGATGTCCCCATGTCCCCCCGTGTCCCCCCGTGTCCCCCCTGTCCCGCTGTCCCTGACGATGTCCCCATGTCCCCCCGTGTCCCCCCGTGTCCCTGACGGTGTCCCCATGTCTCCCCGTGTCCCCGTGTCCCCGCCAGCCGCAGCTGTGGCCGCTGTCCCTGCGCTGTGACGCCGAGTTCCGCGTGCTGCGGCTGCCGTACCGCCTGCGGCCCGAGGGGTACCCCCGCCACCGCCTGCAGGTGACACCGGGGGGACACTGGGGGGACAATGGGGACATGGGGGACAATGGGGACACTGGGGACATGGGGGTGACACCATGGGTGACGCTGAGGTCTGGGGTGGCAGGAGGTGACAGCGCTGTCACTGTCCTGCCCCGAGGCGGGGGCGGGGGTCTCGGTGTGGGCGGTGACACTGGGTGGCACAGGGTGACACTGGGTGACACAGGGTGACACTGTGGGTGTCACAGGGTGGCACTGGGTGACACAGGGTGACACAGGGTGACACTGGCTGTCCCTGTCCCCGCCCAGGTGGTGACAGCGCTGTCGCGGGCCCGGCCCGAGGCGGGGGCGGGGGTCCCGGTGTGGGCGGTGGCACTGGGTGACACAGGGTGACACTGTGGGTGGCACAGGGTGGCACTGGGTGACACAGGGTGACACTGGCTGTCCCTGTCCCTGCCCCAGGTGGTGACAGCGCTGTCGCGGGCCCGGCCCGAGGCGGGGGCGGGGGTCCCGGTGTGGGCGGTGGCACAGGGTGACACTGGGTGACACTGGGTGGCACAGGGTGACACAGGGTGACACTGGGTGACACTGTGGGTGACACAGGGTGACACTGTGGGTGTCCCTGTCCCTGCCCAGGTGGTGACAGCGCTGTCGCGGGCCCGGCCCGAGGCGGGGGCGGGGGTCCCGGTGTGGGCGGTGGCACAGGGTGGCACAGGGTGACACAGGGTGGCACAGGGTGACACTGTGGGTGTCCCTGTCCCTGCCCAGGTGGTGACAGCGCTGTCGCGGGCCCGGCCCGAGGCGGGGGCGGGGGTCCCGGTGTGGGCGGTGGTCCTGGCGGTGCTGCTGGGGCTGCTCCTGCTCGGCCTCCTCTGCTACGGCCTCTACAAGGTGGGGCGGGGGCTTGGGGGGCTGGGGGCGGTTTGGGGGGCGGTTTGGGGGGCTGGGGGGGGTTTGGGGGGATTTGGGGGGGCTGGGGGATGTTTGGGGGGGCTGGGGGGTATTTGGGGGGCTGGGGGCTTCTACAGGGTGGGGCTTCTGGGGTTTGGGGGGGATTTGGGGGATGTCAAAGGGGTCTGGGGGCCTCTGCAAGGTGGGGATGAACTTGGGGGGCTGGAAGGACACTGGGGGGGCACTGGGGGACACGGGGGTGGCACTGGGGGACACGGGGGGGTGCACAGGGACACGGGGGTGGCACTGGGGACACTGTGGGGGCACACAGGGACACGGGGGTGGCACCGGGGGGATTTTGGGGTCCCCCTGACCCCCCTGTCCCCCCAGTTGGGTTTCTTCAAGCGCTCGGGGCCCTACGGCACCGCCATGGAGAAGGCGCAGCTGAAACCGCAGGCGGCCTCCGAGGCCTGAGGGACACCCGGGGGTGACAGGGACACCCCTGGGGACAGGGACACCCCAGGGGACACCCCAGAGCCTGGGGACATCTCCATGGCTTGGGGACATCCCACGGCTCCAGGACATCCCCGGATCTGGGACACTTCCCAGCTTGGGGACTCCCCACAAGGACAATGTCACCTGCGTGGCCGTGTCACCTGCGTGGCCGTGTCACCTGCGTGGCTGTGACACCTTCATGGCCGTGTCACCTGCGTGGCCGTGCCACCCACCTCAGTGACATCCCCCACTCCACGCCCCCGGCTGGGGACACCCACGGTGCCCCCCCACACACTGGCACGGCCACCACCGCGTTAGGGACATTGTCACAGAATTGTCACCGCGTTGGGGACATTGTCACAGAACTGCCACCAGGCTCAGGACACTGTCTGAATTGTCACCAGGCTGGGGACACTGTCACCGAACTGTCACTGTGCTGGGGACACTGTCCCAAAACTGTCTCCGGGCTCAGGACACTGTCCCAAAGCTGTCACCCGGCTCAGGACACTGTCACCGCTCTGGGTGTGTCACACGCCCAGGACATGTCCCCGTGGCACAGCTGCCACCACCGGGCTGGACTGGAACAACCCGGGATGTGCCACCACCAGGAACTGTCACCACCAGTGGCAATTGTCACCGCCAGACCGGGAGCTGTCACCTGTGGGAATTGCCACCATGGGACTGGGAACTGTCACCGCCAGCCCGGGAACTGCTGGCACATGGGGTGACACCGAGCTGGCACCGACACGGACGCGGCAGGGGACACGGGGACACCGGCAGGACACTGAAGGGACACTGCCGGGACACCAGGACGCTGCAGGGGACACCGAGGGGACACCAGGACGCGTCCCCAGCGCTGTCACTCCCCCCGGGACAGGACCTGTGGGTGGGCAAACCCCGCTGGCACCTGGTGGCGGTGTCACAGTGTCACAGTGTCACAGCGTCACAGCGTCACCCTGTCCCAGCGCGACCCGGGACGCTGCCACCCGCTCCCCGTGCCACCCGCTGCCACCCCCTGTCCCCCGGTGCCACCGCCCCGCACTGCCCCCCCCACCTCACTTTGCACTGACCCCGAGTTTGGGGGGCAGCCTCGACGCCCCTGTCCCCAAGTGTCCCCAGGGTGTCCCCAGGGTGTCCCCGGGGTGTCCCCAGGGTGTCCCCGGGGTGTCCCCGGGGTGCCCCAGGGGTGTCCCCGGGGTGTCCCCGGGTGTCCCCTGGGTGTCCCTGGGTGTCCCAGGGTGTCCCCGGCGTGTCCCCTGGGTGTCCCTGGGTGTCCCAGGGTGTCCCCGGCGTGTCCCCGGGGTGTCCCCGGGGTGTCCCCTGGGTGTCCCTGGGGTGTCCCTGGGGTGTCCCCGGGTGTCCCCAGGGTGTCCCTGGGTGTCCCAGGGTGTCCCCGGGGTGTCCCGGGGTGTCCCTGGGTGTCCCCTGGGTGTCCCTGGGGTGTCCCCTGGGTGTCCCCTGGGTGTCCCCGGGGTGTCCCCGGGTGTCCCTGGGTGTCCTCTGGGTGTCCCCGGGGTGTCTCCGGGGTGTCCCTGGGGTGTCCCAGGGTGTCCCCGGGGTGTTCCCGGTGTCACGGGGGGTTTGCACTATGGGGGGGGCGCGGGGGGCGGCTTCGGTTTGTATTTAATTGGGGGGGGGCGGCCTCGGGGCCCCCCAATAAATGAGTCTGACCCAGAGGGGACGTGGGGACAGCCGGGGGACACTGGGGACAGTGAGGGCACTGGGGACAGGGGGACACTGGGAGGACCGGGAGAGGGAGCACCGGTGACATCGGTGGCGCTGGGGACATCGGGGGGGAGGGCCAGGGCTGTCCCTGCCGCACACTCGGGGACAGGGGGACACACGTGGGGACACTCGGGGACAGCGGGACAGAAGGACATGGGGACATGGAGACACACACGGACAGGGGGACACACACGGGGACACGGGGACGGGACAGGGGACAGGGACACGGGGACACACACGGGGACAGGGACACACACGGTGACACACATGGGGACACGCACAGGGACAGGGACACGGTGACACACACGGGGATACGGGGACACACACGGGGACACACACAGGGACAGGGAACAGGGGACAGGGACACGGTGACACACATGGGGACACACACGGGGACACGGTGCCACTCGTCGCGGGGCGGTCACGGCCCGCTGCCCCCGGACACTGCCGGGGCTCAATTACGCCTCATTAGCAGCCGGGACTCGTCCGGAATCAATAATTCATCGATAATTTATCAATAATTCATGGGAATTTATCAATAATTCACCGATAACTCATCAATAATTCACCGATTATTGACCGCCCCCCCCGGCCCCCAAACACCGCCGAGACCCCAGAGACCCCAAAATCCAGAGAGAGACCCCAAAATCCAGGGACCCCAAATTCCAGGGACCTGGTGTGTTTTGTGGGGTCTCTCTGAATTTTGGGGTCCGTCTATTTTGGGGTCTCTGAATTTTAGGGTATCTAAGTTTTGGGATCTCTGGATTTTGGGATCTCTGGATTTTGGGGTTTCTGAATTTCGGGTTCTCTAAATTTTGGGTTCTCTGGGGTTTGGGCTCTCCGATTTTTGGGCTCTGTGAATTTTCGGGTCTCTAAATTTTGGGTTCTCTGGGTTCTCTGGATTTTAGGGTCTCTGAATTTCGGGGTTTCTGTGTTTTGGGGTCTCTGGATTTTGGGATCTCCGGATTTTGGCGTTTCCGAATTTTGGGGTCTCTAAATTTTGGGTTCTCTGGGTTCTCTGGATTTTAGGGTCTCTGAAGTTTGGGGTTTCTGTATTTCGGGCTCTCTGGATTTTGGGGTTTCTGTATTTTGAGGTTTCTGCATTTCGGGCTCTCTGAATTTTGGGGTTTCTGTGTTTTGGGGTTTCTGCATTTCGGGCTCTCTGAATTTTGGGGTTTCTGTGTTTTGGGGTTTCTGCATTTCGGGCTTTTTGAATTTTGGGGTTTCTGTATTTTGGGGTTTCTGCATTTTGGGCTCTCTGAATTTTGGGGTTTCTGTGTTTTGGGGTTTCTGTATTTCGGGCTCTCTGGATTTTGGGGTTTCTGTATTTTGAGGTTTCTGTATTTCGGGCTCTCTGGATTTTGGGGTTTCTGTATTTTGAGGTTTCTGCATTTCGGGCTCTCTGAATTTTGGGGTTTCTGTGTTTTGGGGTTTCTGCATTTCGGGCTCTCTGAATTTTGGGGTTTCTGTGTTTTGGGGTTTCTGCATTTCGGGCTTTTTGAATTTTGGGGTTTCTGTATTTTGAGGTTTCTGCATTTTGGGCTCTCTGAATTTTGGGGTTTCTGTGTTTTGGGGTTTCTGTATTTCGGGCTCTCTGAATTTTGGGGTTTCTGTGTTTTGGGGTTTCTGGATTTCGGGTTCTCTGAATTTTGGGGTTTCTGCATTTCGGGCTCTCTGAATTTTGGGGTTTCTGTGTTTTGGGGTTTCTGCATTTCGGGCTCTCTGAATTTTGGGGTTTCTGTGTTTTGGGGTTTCTGTATTTCAGGTTCTCTGGATTTTGGGCTCTCCGGATTTTGGGGTTTCTGTATTTTGGGGTTTCTGCATTTCGGGCTCTCTGAATTTTGGGGTTTCTGCATTTTGGGCTCTCCGGATTTTGGGGTCTCTGTATTTTGGGGTTTCTGGATTTTGGGGTTTCTGGATTTCGGGCTCTCTGAATTTTGGGGTTTCTGTATTTTGGGCTCTCCGGATTTTGGGGTCGCTCCCCCCGTGTCCCCTCCCCTCCCCTCCCCCTCCCCCTCAGTTCCCACGCTCCCCGGGTGTGTCCCCCCCCTCCCCCCTCCCCCCACCCCCGCCCGCGCGTGTCGCGACACGTGCGCGACCCCGCCCGGTGGGGGAGGGGAGGGGAGGGACGGACACGCGGGGACGCGCGGGTGGGGGAGGGGAGGGACGGACACGCGGGGACGCGCGCGGGGGGGGGAGGGGGGAGGGGAACGGGAGGGGGGAGGGGGGAGGCGACACCGAGGTGACAGCTCGGGGGGGGGGGGAGGGGACACGCGTGGGGCGCGACACGCGCGGGGAGGCCCCGCCCCCTCCCCGCCCCTCCCCCTCCCCAAATCCGCCCCTCCCCCCCCCCGTGCCCCAGTTCCGCGCGCCGCCATTGGCCCGGCCCGGGGGGGGGAGGGGACACGGGGGGGACACGGGGGAGGGGACACGGGGGGGACACGGGGGGGACACGAGCGCGGGGGGACCCCGGGGCAGGGCCGGGCCCGGTACCGAGAGCGCCGCGCCGGGGGGGCCCCGCAGGTAACGGGAGAGGCCCCAAACCCGCGGGGGGATGGGGGGGGGTCGGGATTTGGGGTTTGGGGTTTGGGGTTTGGGGTTTTGGGGATTTGGGATCTTCGGGATTTTGGGTTTGGGGTTTGGGATGTGGGGTTTGGGATGTGGGGTTCGGGATTTGGGGATTTGGGATCTTCGGGGTTTGGGATCTTCGGGATTTGGGGTTTGGGATGTGGGGATTTGGGATCTTCTGGATTTTGGTGTTTGGGGTTTGGGGTTTGGGATCTTTGGCGTTTGGGATGTTTGGGGTCTGAGGTTTGGGCTTTGGGATTTTCGGGATTTGGGGTTTGGGAACTGAGGTTTGGGATTTTGGGGATTTGGGGTTTGGGATTTTCTGGATTTGGGGTTTGGGAATTTCGGAATTTGCCATGTGGGATCTTCGGATTTGGCGTTTTTGGTTTGGGATTTCTGGGGTTTGGGATTTTTGGGGTTTGGGGTTTTTGGGGTTTGGGGGCGCAGGCCCGCGGCCATGGGGGGGACACCGGGGGGGTCCCGGGGGGGTCCCGCGGGTCACTCAGAGGCGCTCCCGCATCCCCCGGTGCGGGCCGGGACCCCGCGGGAGAACCGGGACCGGCGGTGGGGGGGGGTGAAGGGGCTCCCGGGGGTGCCCCGGGGGTCGCGGGGGGAGGGGGGGGTCCCGGTAGCCGCATCGGGGGGGTCCCGGTGGTCGCATGGAGGGGGGGGGGGTCCCGGTGGTCGCATGGAGGGGGGGGGGGTCCCGGTGGCCCCATGGGGGGGTCCCGGTGGTCGCGCCGTCCCCGTTTCTCTCCCCCCGCCCCGTCCCCGGTGCGCCGCGGCCGCCCCCGGTGAGGACGCGCGGCGGGGGCGGCCCGGGAGGTTTCGGGGGTCCCGGGGGGCCCATCCCGGGGGTCCCGGGGCCCCCCTGACCCCCCCCCCGCCGCAGGGCGATGCTGCGGGCCCCGGGGCCGCTGGGGCCGCCCCCCGGCCGCCTCCTCCTGCCCGACGCCGCCGCCGCCGCCGCCGCCGCCGCCGCCGCGCTCCGGTTGCTGCCGCCGCTGCCCGCGGTGAGCCCGGGGGGCTCGGGGGGCTCGGGGGGCTCCGGCGGGATGGGGGGGCACGGGGGGCTCCCGGGAGCCGGGAAGGGTCGGCGGGTCCCGGTACCGGGAGCGGCGGGGCTGAGCCCGGCCGGGGGTTCGGGGGGTTCCCGGTACCGGAGGGGTCCCGGTGATGGGGGGGGGGCCCGGGGGGGGCCCGGGGTCCCCAAAGGGGGTTCGCGGGGGGTACCGGGGGGCTTTTAGGGGGTCCCGGTACTGGGGGGTTCGGGGGGTTCCCGGTACCGGAGGGTTCGGGGGGTGTGAAGGGGGGGAACACGGGGGGGACACGGGGGGGTCCCGGGGGGGTTTTGGGGGGTCCCGGTCCCGGGGGGGGTTCGGGGGTTTCGCGCCGGAGGCTGTGAGGGGTCCGGGGGTGCGGGGGGGGGGTCCCGGAGAGGGGGCGGGGCGGCCCTGCCCCCTCCCGGCCGCCGTACCGGGACCCCCAAAACCCCCCCGGGACCCCCCCAAAACACCCCCGGGACCCCCCCCGGGACCCCCGCCAGGGCTCGGTGCGATCTGGAACCCCCGAACCGCCCCCGGGACCCCCAAAATCACCCGGGGGGGGGTCCCAGAGCCCCCCAAATGCCCCCCCGGGGTGGGGGCGGTCCCGGGTCCCTCCCGGTCCCGCGGGTTTGGGCCGGGCCGGTTCCGGAGGCGCTGCGGAATTGGGGCGGGGGCGGATCCTGACCCCCGCCAAAACCGGGGGGGGGGGGAATTTTGGGGGGATTTGGGGGTGCCGGGATGGTTTTTGGGGGGCGGGTTGGTATTTTTGGGGGATATTTTGGGAGTTTTGGGAGTGCGGGGATGATTTGGGGGGGGGTTGGGGATTTAGGGGGATATTTTGGGGGACATTTTCGGGTTTTGGGGGACATTTTTGGGGTTTGGGGGATATTTTGTGAGTTTTGGGGGTGCGGGGATGATTTTGTGGGGAGGTTTTGGGGAAATTTGGGGATTTTGGGGATATTTTGTGAGTTTTGCGGGTGAGGGGATGATCTTGTGTGGGGTTTTGGGGGGATGTTTTGGGGATATTTTGGGATTTTTCAGATATTTTTGGGGGTTTTGGGGATGTTTGGAGGTGCAGGGATGATTTTTGTGTGGGTTGGTGGTTTGGGGGGACATTTTGGGGTTTTTTTCAGGATATTTGGGGGTTTGTGGGGTTGTTTTGGGATATTTTGGGATATTTTGGTGGGGGTGTTTCGGGGGTGCAGGGATGTTTTTTGGGAGGGGGTTTGGGGATATTTTGGCGTTTTTGGGGTGCTGAACCCTCGTCCCCAAATGGAGCCGCTGCCCAAGGGGGCGCTGGGGGCAGTTTTTGGGGTGTTTTGGGGTTTGTGGGGGTTTATGGGATATGGGGGGTTTTGGGGGGATATTTTGGGGTTCCAGGGTTTTTTTGGGGTTTTTGGGGCTGTTTTGGGGTGCTGACCCCCCCGTGCCCCCCAGATGGAGCCGCTGCCCAAGGGGGCGTTGGGGGCTCTGACCAAACCGCGGCGCCCCGTGATCGCCTGCAGCGTCTGCCAGATCCGCTTCAACTCCGAGGTGACAGCGGGACAGGGGACAGGGGACAGAGGGGACAGGGGGGACAGGGGGGACAGGGGGACAGCGGGACAGGGGGGACAGAGGGGACAGGGGGGACAGGGGGGACAGGGGGGACAGAGGGACAGTGGGGACAGGGGGGACAGGGGGGACAGGGGGGACAGAGGGACAGTGGGGACAGCGTCCTGGGGGTGACAATGGCCGGGGGGGACAGCGTCCAGGGGCTGACAGTGTCCACATGCTGTCCCCATGTCCCTGGCACTGTGTCACTGTGTCAGTGTGTCAGTGCCCCTGTCACAGTGTCAGTGTCACAGTGTCACTGTCACTGTGTCACTCACAGTGTCACGGTGTCACTGTCACTGTGTCACAGTGTCACTGTGTCCCCAGAGCCAGGCCGCTGCTCACTACCAGGGCAATCGCCACGCTCTGTGTGACTGTGTCAGTGTGTGACTGTCACTGTCACTGTGTCACTGTCACTGTCACTGTGTCACTGTCACTGTCACAGTGTCACTGTCCCTGTCCCTGTCCCCAGAGCCAGGCCGCCGCGCACTACCAGGGCAATCGTCACGCTCTGTGTGACTGTGTCACTGTGTGACTGTCACTGTGTCAGTGTCACTGTCACTCACGGTGTCCCTGTCCCCAGAGCCAGGCTGCTGCTCACTACCAGGGCAATCGCCACGCTCGCCGCCTCAAGGGCCTCGAGGCCGCCCGGTCCCGCCATGGGGGTGACCCCGGGGACCCCCCAGAGCCGCCCCCGACCGCGGCCCCCCCGGCCGGGGACCCCCCCGAGCGCGCAGGTGGGTGCTGGGCCCCCGAAACCCCCCAAAACCCCCCAAAAACCCCCTGACCCCCAAATCCCCTATAGCCCCCAAACCCCCCCAACCTCCATTTCCCCCCTGCCCAGGGGAGCAGCCCCCACATTCCCCTATAGCCCCCCCCAAACCTCCCCAAAACCCCCCCAATGAGCCCCCCAATGACCCCCCTCGCCCCCAGGGGAGCAGCCCCCCAAATTCCTCTATAGCCCCCCCAAAACCCCCCCAATGACCCCCCCAATTTCCCCCTCGCCCCCAGGGGAGCAGCCCCCCAAATTCCCCTATAGCCCCCCCAAAACCCCCAATTCCCCCCCCCCAGGGGAGCAGCCCCCCAAATTCCCCTATAGCCCCCCCAAACCCCCCAATTCCCCTCCCCAGGGGAGCAGCCCCCCGCCCCCGCCGCCCCCGGCGCCCCCGGGCCCCCCTCGCCCCCCGCGCCGCCCCGGCCCGAGGAGGAGGAGGAGGAGGAGGAGGAGCGGGCGAAGGCCAAGCGGCTCCTGTACTGCGGCCTCTGCAAAGTGGCCGTGAACTCCCTGTCCCAGCTGGAGGCGCACAACCGAGGTGGGACACGGACACGGGGACAGAGGGGACAGAGGGGACACAGGGACACTGGGGGGATTGGGGGGGATTGGGGAGGGGTCTCAGGGGGATCCCTGTGGGTTTGGGGGGTCCTGGGGGAGTTCTGGGGGTGTTTTGAGGTCCTGGGGCTGTTTTTGGGGTGCTGGGGGGAGTTCCCGGGGCCATTTCTGGGGCTCAGGGATGATTTTGGGGTCCCAGGGCTGATTCTGGGGCTCAGGGCTGATTTTGGGGCTGTCCCGGGCGGTTTTGGGGCTCGGGGCTGATTTTGGGGCTGTCCCGGGCGGTTTTGGGGTCCCAGGGGCAGTTCCCTGGGCTGTTTTTGGGGCTCAGGGCTGATTCTGGGGCTGTCCCGGGCGGTTTTGGGGCTCGGGGCTGATTTTGGGGCTGTCCCGGGCGGTTTTGGGGTGCCGGGGGGAGTTCCCAGGACCGTTCCTGGCACTCAGGGCTGATTTTGGGGCTGTCCCGGGCGGTTTTGGGGCTCGGGGCTGATTTTGGGGCCCCGGGCGGTTTTGGGGTGCCAGGCACCAAGCACAAGACGCTGCTGGAGGCCCGCTCGGGGCTCGGCCCCATCCGCGCCTTCCCGCGGGGGGGCGGCGGCGCGGGGCCCCCCCCGGCCGAGGGTCCCGAGCGCTGCTTCCACTGCCGCGTGTGCAACGTGCGCCTCAACTCCGAGCTGCAGCTCAAGCAGGTGCGCCCCGAGCCCAGAAACCGAGCCCCAATCCCAGAGTGCGCCCCAAATCCCAGAGTGCGCCCCGATCCCATAAAGGGAGCCCCAAATCCCATAAAGGGAGCCCCAATCCCCTAAACTGAGCCCCAATCCCCTAAACTGAGCCCCAGTCCCCCAAAGAGTGCGCCCCAATCCCATAAACTGAGCCCCAATCCCAGAGTGCGCCCCAAATCCCATCAACTGAGCCCCAATCCCCTAAACTGAGCCCCGATCCCCCAAAGAGTGAGCCCCGATCCCCCAAACTGAGCCCCAATCCCAGAGTGCGCCCCAAATCCCATAAAGAGTGAGCCCCGATCCTAAAGTGAGCCCCAATCCCCTAAAGTGCACCCCGATCCCATAAAGAGTGAGCCCCGATCCCCTAAAGGGAGCCCCAAATCCCCCAAACTGACCCCAGACCTCCTAAGCTGACCCCAAATCCCCTAAACTGACCCCAGATCCCCCAAACTGACCCCAAATCCCCCCGGGACTCCCCCAAACTGACCCTGGGACACCACCCTGACCCCAGAACCCCCCAGACTGACCCTGGACACCCAAAATGCCCCAAAACCCCCTGGGATTCCCAAAAAGCCCCCCAGGGACCCCCCGAACTGCCCCCAGTCCCCCCGGGGAACCCCCCCAGGCCCCCAGCCCCAGTTTTGGGGGGTTCCGGTTTTTGGGGTGCCATTAAACCCCCCCTGCCCCCCCAGCACATCTCCAGCCGCCGGCACCGGGACGGGGTCGCCGGGAAGCCGAACCCCCTCCTGGGGCGCCACAAAAAACCCCGGAGCCCCCCCGAGCTGGTGAGGGGTCCTGGGGGGTCCTGGGGGGGATGGGGGGTCCTGGGTGGGGTTTGGGGGGTTTGGGGGGGCCATGGGGGTGTTTGGGGGGCTCCGGGGGTATCAGTGGGGTTGGGGTCCCATGAAATTGGGGGGGTTTGGGGTGCCCCGGGGGGGGTCTGGGGATACCAAGGGGGGGGTTTTGGGGGGTCTGGGGGTCCTTGGGGGGGTTTGGGGTTTAGGGGGTGCTGGGGGGTGTCCATAGGGAGTACCCCGGGGGGGTCTAGGGGTACCAAGGGGCGGTTTGGGGGTGCCGTGGGGGGGGGTCTGGGGGTCCCTGGGGGGGTCCCTGGGGGGTTTGGGGGTTTTGGGGGTCCCTGGGGGGGTCCCGGGGGGTTTGGGGGTCTCTGGGGGGGTCCCGGGGGTCCCTGGGGGGGTCCCGGGAGGGTTTGGGGGTTTTGGGGGTCCCTGGGGGGGTCCCGGGGGGCTTTGGGGTTCTGGGGGTGTCGTGGGGGGGTCTGGGGATATCAATGGGGGGGTCTGGGGGTGTCGTGGGGGGGTCCCCCAGGCCCGGGGGGGTTTGGGGGTCTGGGGGTGCCGGGGGGGGTCTGGGGGTATCAATGGGGGGTTCTGGGGGTCCCTGGGGGGGTCCCGGGGGTGCCGTGGGGGGGTCCCCCAGGCCCGGGGGGAGTTTGGGGGATCTGGGGGTGCCGTGGGGGGGTCCCGGGGGGGGGTTGGGGGTCATTGGGGGGGTCCCGGGGGTGTTTGGGGGTCTGGGGATGCCATGGGGGGGTCCCGGGGGTCCCGGCCGCCCCCCCACGCCCCCCGCCCCCCCAGGCGCCGCTGCCGTTCCCCAAGGAGCTGCCGAAGGCTCTGGCGGGGGGGGGGGCTCCTGCCGCCCCCCTTGGCCCTCGCCGCCGCCGCCGCCGCCGCCATCGCCGCCCCCCCCTGGCCCTGCGCCCCCCGGGACCCCCGGGACCCCCGGGACCCCCGGGACCCCCCCTGCTGCCCGGGCCCCCCCTGGCCCCCGCCCTGCTGCGGCCGGCGCCGGGACCCCTGCGGCCCGCGCACGCCCCCCTGCTCTTCTCCCCTTATTGAGGGACAGTGACAGTGACAGTGACAGTCACACAGGGACAGTGACACAGTGACACTGACACAGGGACAGCCCCGGCCCCCTGCGCCCCGCGCACGCCCCCCTGCTCTTCTCCCCTTATTGAGGGGACATGGGGACAGGGACATGGGGACAGGGACATGGGGACAGGGACATGGGGACAGGGACATGGGGACAGCGTGGGGACAGTGACAGTGACACAGTGACAGTGACACAGTGACAGCCCCGACCCCCTGCGCCCTGCGCACGCCCCCCTGCTCTTCTCCCCTTATTGAGGGGATGGGGACAGTGACAGGGACATGGGGACAGGGACAGTGACAGTGACACAGGGACAGGGACATGGGGACAGTGACAGTCACACAGGGACACAGTGACAGTGACACAGGGACAGCCCCGGCCCCCTGCGCCCCGCGCACGCCCCCCTGCTCTTCTCCCCTTACTGAGGGGACATGGGGACATGGGGACATGGGGACAGTGACACAGGGACAGTGACAGCCCCGGCCCCTGCGCCCCGCGCACGCCCCCCTGCTCTTCTCCCCATATTGAGGGGACAGGAACAGTGACAGTGACATGGGGACACCCTGGGGACACCGGGACAGCAGCCAGCACCCGGCAACCTTCAGTGAGCAACTGCCCAGTGACGGTCACTCGGTGACGGTCACTCTGATGGTCACTCTGATGGTCACTCTGATGGTCACTCGGTGATGGTCAGTGGTCACTCTGGTCACTCTGGTCACTCTGACGTCACTCTGACGTCACTCCCCTGGCCAGTTGGTCCCCTGGCCACGCCCACCATCCCCTCCCTGCCCGGCAACGGCCGTTTCCATGGCAACCGCGGTCTCCATGGCAACGGGGATCTCCATGGCAACCGCCTGCGACCAACCGGAGCAGCACTTGGGGTCTCCATGGCAACCGCCCCGGCAACCGCCCCTGGCAACCGCCCCTGGCAACCGGCCCCGCCCCCGGCCCCGCCCCGGCTGTTCTCTCCTCCCCCCCGGCTGTTCTCTCCTCCCCCCCCCGGGCTCAGCGCTTTTTCTGTTGTTTTTAACTGGAATTTGGGAATTTTGGCAGGAAAACAACGAGCCCCTCCCCCCCCCCGGGACCCCCCCGGCCCCACTGCACAAACCCCGGGGACCGGGACCCCCCCGGGGTGGGGGAGGGGCCCGGGGGGGGTCCCCCAAACCCCCCCGGCACCTCAGGGATCTGCTCAGCAATCAGCGACGGCTCGAGGGATGGACCCCCCCCTCCCCTCCCCCACCCACCGCGGGACCCCCCCCCACCCCGGGACCCCCCCCAAGCCATGACCTCTTGCACTGAGGGCAGCGAGCCCCGCACACCCCCGGGGGGGCGCCAAAAATCGCCCCCCCCCATTCCTTTAACCCCCCCCCCCCCATTCCGGGCCCGGCCCATTGCAATAATTTGGGGAGGGGGGTCCGGGGCACCCCCCCTTGTAAATAACGCCCCCCCTCACACACACACATGGTACGGCCCCATAAGCACTGTGCCCCCACCCCCAAAAATCCTGCAACCCCAAAAAAACCTGCACACCCCCCCAAAATCCTGCACCCCCCCAGCACTGTGACCCCCCAAAAACTGCACACCCCCCCAAAAAAACTGCACACCCCCCCAAAATCCTGCACCCCCCCAGCACTGTGACCCCCCCAAAAAACTGCACACCCCCAAAAAAAACTGTACACACCCCCAAAATCCTGCACCCCCCCCAGCACTGTGACCCCCCCCAAAATCCCGCACCCCCCATCACTGTGACCCCCCCAAAAAAAATCCCGGACCCCCCCATCACTGTGACCCCCCCCCAAAATCCCGCACCCCTCTTATCACTGTGCCCCCCATCACCACCGCCCCCCCTCACTGTGCCCCCCCTTTGGCACTGAACCCCCAATTTTGGGTGTTCCCCCCCCCCTTTTGGCACTGAACCCCCCCAAATTTGGGGCCCCCCCAGTCGAAACTGTGATAAAGCAAAGCAATAGTGGGGGGGGGGTTTGGGGGTCCCCGTGTCCCCCCCGTGTCGTGCCCCCCCTCTGCTTCACCCCAATAAATGACGAGGTTTGAGCTCCTGCTCGGGGCCTGCGGGTTTGGGGGGGCCCGGGGGGGTCCTGGTGGATTTTGGGGTTCCCAGGGGGTTCCGGGAAGGTTTGGAGGTCCCCGGGTGGATTTTGGGGTCCCCAGGGGGATCCTGGGTGGATTTTGGGGTCCCCAGAGGGGTCCCCGGGTGGATTTTGGGGTCCCCAGGGGGATTTTGGGGTCCTCAGGGGGGTCCTGAGTGGATTTTGGGGTTCCCAGGGGGGTCCTGAGTGGATTTTGGGGTCCTCAGGGGGGTTTTGGGGATCCCCAAGGGGGTCCCGGGAAGGTTCTGAGGTCCCCAAGGGAGTTTTGGGGTCCCCAGGTGGGTTCTGGGTGGATTGGGGGGGCCCCAGGGGGGTCCTGGGTGGATTGGGGGGGCCCCAGGGGGGTCCTGGTGGATTTTGGGGTTCCCAGGGGGATTTTGGGGTCCTCAGGGGGGTTTTGGGGATCCCCAAGGGGGTCCCGGGAAGGTTCTGAGGTCCCCGTGTGGATTTTGGGGTCCCCAGGGGGGTCCTGGGTGGATATTGGGGTTCCCAGAGGGGTCCCGGGAAGGTTCTGAGGTCCCTGGGGGAGTTTTGGGGTCCCTGGGGAGGTTTTGGGGATCCCCAGGGGGGTCCCTGAGGGACACCGCCTTTTTGGGGGGGTCCTAAACCCCCCAAGCCCCCCCAAATCCCTCCAAATCCCCTCAACCTCCCCAAAATGGCCCCAAAATCCCCCAAATCCCCCCCAAACCCCCCCGGGGCGGCGCAGGCACAGAGGAGGCGGCACACGGGACTGGGGGGGCAGCGGCGTGTTGGGGGGCACGGGGGGGGGGTCCCGGGGGGTTTGGGGGGTCCCAGGAGGTTTAGGGGGATCCTGGGGGCGTTTTGGGGGTCCTGGGGGGGGTCCTGGGGTGGTCCAGGGAGGTTTTGGGGGTCCTGGGGGGCTCCTGGTGGCTCCCAGGAGGTTTCCGGGGGTCCTGGGGGGGTTCCCATGAGGTTTTGGGGGTCCCAGGAGGTTTCTGGGGTCCTGGGGGGGTCCCAGGAGGTTTTTGGGGGTCCTGAGGAGGTCCCAGGTGGTTTTGGGGGGTCCTGGGGGGGTCCTGGTGGCTCCCAGGAGGTTTCTGGGGGGCTCCAGGAGGTTTTGGGGAGTCCTGGGGGGGTCCCAGGTGGTTTTGGGGGGTCCTGGAGGGTTCCAGGGTGGTTCCTGGGGGTTCCCATGAGGTTTTGGGGGATCCCAGGAGGTTTCTGGGGGGTCCCAGGAGGTTTCTGGGGGTCCCCCTAACGCAGCAGTGACCACTTGATCTGCTCCTTCGCTGCCTGCAGCACCTGGGGGCACAGATGGGGACACCTGGGGACACCTGGGGACACCTGGGGCCATCTGGGGGGGCACCTGGGGGCACCTGGGGACATCTGGGGACATCTGGGGACATCTGGAGACACTTGGGGGGCACCTGGGGACACCTGGGGGACACCTGGGGACACCTGGGGACACTTGGGGGGCACCTGGGGGACACCTGGGGACACCTGGGGACACTTGGGGGGCACCTGGGGGCACCTGGGGACACCTGGGGACACTTGGGGGGCACCTGGGGGGCACCTGGGGACACCTGGGGGACACCTGGGGGACACCTGGGGGGCACCTGGGGACACCTGGGGGACACCTGGGGACACCTGGGGACACCTGGGGGGCACCTGGGGACATCTGGGGACACCTGGGGGACACCTGGGGGGTACCTGGGGACACCTGGGGACACCTGGGGACACCTGGGGGGCACCTGGGGGACACCTAGGGGACACCTGGGGACACCTGGGGGACACCTGGGGGACACCTGGGGGACACCTGGGGACACCTGGGGACACCTGGGGACACCTGGGGACACCTGGGGACACCTGGGGACATCTGGGGACACCTGGGGGACAGCTGGGGCACACCTGGGGACACCTGGGGACACCTGGGGGGCACCTGGGGCCATCTGGGGGGGCCAAGGACACCCCTGGAAGGGTTTGGGGGGGCCCAGAGGGGTCAGGAGTGTCCTGGAGGGGTCCCAGGGGTTTTTTTGGGGGGGGTCTTAGGGGATTTTTGGGGATCCCAGGGGTTTTTGGGGATCCCAGGGGGTTTTTGGGGATCCCAGGGGGGTTTTTTGGGGCTCTCAGGAGTTTTGGGGGGTCTCAGGGGTTTTTGGGGTCCTACCTGTGACACCGTCTGCTCCGTCAGGGGCACGTCCTCACCCTGTGGGGACGGGGGGGGACAGAGAGGGGACAGTGGGGACCTGGAGCGGGGGGGGCACCCAGGATTGCCCCTGGGCTGCCCCCAAAAATCCCAAATCCTCCCAAAATACCCCCCAAACCCCCAAATCCTTCCCAAACCCCTCTGAAATCCTCCCAAAACACCCCCCAAACCTCCAAAGCCCCCTGAAATCCTCCCCCAATCCCCCCAAAACCTCCAAATCCCCCCCCAAATAACTCAAATCCCCCCCCAGAAAACTCAAATCCCCCCCAAAACCCTAAATCCCCCCAAAAAAACCTCAAATCTCCCCAAACCCCCAAATCCCCCCCAAGCCCTCCCCAAATCCCCCTGAAATCCCTCCCAACGCCCCCCCAAAAGCCCAAAATCCCCCCGAAAAAACCCAAAAAACCCCTGAAATAACCCAAATCCCCCCCCAAAAACCCCCCAAAACCCCAATTCTCCTCAAATCCCCCCCAGTCCCCCCACAGCCCCCGTACCCGCACGGCCACGCGGTGCACGACCTGCTGGGGGTCACTCTCCAGGATCACCCTGCGGGGACACGGGGACAGGGACAGGGATGGGGACAGGGACATGAGGACACGGGGACAGGGGACACGGGGACACCTCAGCGCCGCGGGTGACAGAGCCCAGGGTGACAGTGACAGTCCCAGGGTGACAGTGACGGTCCCCAGGGCAGGTGGCAGTCCTCAAGGGGAGGTGACGGTCCCAGGAGGGGTGACAATGACAGTTCCGGGGAGGTGACAGTGGCGGTGACAGTCCCAGGGAGGTGACAATGACAGTGTCAATGACAGTGGCAGGGACAGGGACAGGGACCCACCCTCCGTCCACGATCTCGTCCACGGCCAGGAACAGCCCCTCCATGTTGTCCAGCAGCGCCCGGCGCTCCACGTTCTTCCTGGGACGGGGACGGGGACAGGGGACAGGGGGACGTGGGGACAGCGGGGACACGGGACAGAGAGACATGGGGACATCATGGACACCCCACAGGGACACCCCACAGAGCTGTCCCAGGTGTCCCAGCTGTCCCCAGGTGTCCCAGGTGTGTCCCTACCTGAGCATTTGGCTCAGCGAGTCGAACAGGCAGTTCAGCACGGCCGTCAGCATCAGCTGGGGACAGCGGGGACACAGAGGGGACAGCGGGGTCACAGGGGGACACAGGGGGTCACAGGGGGTCACAGGGGGTCACAGGGGGTCACAGACGGGGTCACAACCCACCCGGGGTCCCCCAGCAGCCCTGGGTGTGCTTGTGCCCCGGCAGAGTCCCCACGGTGTCCCAGCAGTGTCCCCCCTGTCCCCGCTGTCCCCCCCTGTCCCCCCCATGTCCCCAGGCTCTGTCCCCGTGTCCCCACCTCGTTCTGGGTGGCGCTCCCGATGACGCAGCAGTACAGGTCGATGCTGCTCTTGTACACCACGGTCAGCCCGTCCAGGAGCGCGATCTCACCTGGGGACAGGGACACCTGTGTCACCTGTGTCACCTGTGTCACCTGTGTGCCACCCCTGTGTCACCTGTGTGTCACCTGTGTCACCTGTGTCACCTGTACCACCCCTGTGTCCCCCTGTACACCATGGCCAGCCCGTCCAGGAGCGCGATCTCACCTGGGGACAGGGACACCTGTGTCACCTGTGCCACCTGTGTGTCACCTGTGTGTCACCTGTGTGTCACCTGTGTGTCACCTGTGTCACCCTGTACACCACGGTCAGCCCGTCCAGGAGCGCGATCTCACCTGGGGACAGCCACACCTGTGTCACACCTGTGTCACCTGTGTGTCACCTGTGCCATGTCCCTGTGTCCCTGTGACCCTGTGTCCCCTCAGTGTCACTCAGTGTCACTGCAGTGTGTCACACTGTCCCTGTGACCCCGTGCCACCCCCATGTCACCCTGGTGTCACTCGGTGTCACTGTCCCCTCAGTGCCACCCCCGTGTCACTCACTGTCACTGCAGTGTGTCACAATGTCCCTGTGACCCTGTGTCACCCCCATGTCACCCCCGTGTCACTCGGTGTCACTGCGGTGTGTCACACTGTCCCTGTGACCCCGTGCCACCCCCGTGTCACCCCGGTGTCACTCGGTGTCACTCACTGTCACTGCGGTGGGTCTTGCTGAAGATGTTCTGTGTCCCTGTGTCACTCAGTGTCCCCTCAGTGTCACTGTCCCCTCAGTGTCCCCTCAGTGTCACTCACTGTCACTGCGGTGGGTTTTGCTGAAGATGTTCTGTGTCCCTGTGTCACTCAGTGTCCCCTCAGTGTCACTGTCCCCTCAGTGCCACCCCTGTGTCACTCAGTGCCACCCCCGTGTCACTCACTGTCACTGCGGTGGGTTTTGCTGAAGATGTTCTTCTCGAAGGCGCGCTGCTCCTTCACGCTGGGGTAGGTGTCATCGTAGTACTGCGACACGGGACACGTTGGGGACATCGGGGACATTGGGGACAGCATTGGGGACACGGGACAGCATTGGGGACATCAGGGACAGCGTTGGGGACATCAGGGACAGAGAAAAGGGACATGGGGACACAGGGCAGGGCAGGGACATCGGCCACCCCTTGACACCCGTGCCACCCGCCCTGTCCCTTGCCCAGAGCCGCGTCCCCCTCGGGGCAGTGTGTCCCTGTCCCCAGTGTCCCCTGGGTGTCCCCAGTGTCCCCTGGTGTCCCCTGGTGTCCCCTGGGTGTCCCCTGGGTGTCCCTGGGTGTCCCCTGGGTGTCCCCAGTGTCCCCTGGTGTCCCCTGGGTGTCCCTGGGTGTCCCCTGGGTGTCCCCTGGTGTCCCCAGTGTCCCCCGGTGTCCCCTGGGTGTCCCCAGTGTCCCCTGGGTGTCCCCTGGGTGTCCCCAGTGTCCCCCGGTGTCCCCTGGGTGTCCCCAGTGTCCCCTGGGTGTCCCCAGTGTCCCCAGTGTCCCCTGGGTGTCCCCAGTGTCCCCACCTTGGCGAAGAGCCGCTCGCCGTCGTTGTCGAGGATGATGATGGCCTTGACGGTGTACAGGGACGGCTCCTGGGGACGGGACAGGGACAGTGACAGGGACAGTGCCACCCCCAGGACAGGGACAGTGGGCGAAGCTGTGCTGGGGTCACTGTCCCTGTGTCCCCCCTGTCCCCGTGTCCCCCTGTCCCTGTCCCTGTCCCCGTGCAGGTCCTGCGGTGCCGGGGGTGCCCAGGACCAAGTTCTGTGATGCACTGACTGCCCAGAGCCACAGCCCAGTGTAGGACAGAACCCCGGCCTGAGCACCCAAACCGTGCCAAACTGTCCCCAAAATGTCCCCAAAACTGTCCCCAAACTGTCCCCAAACTGTCCCCAAAACTGTCCCCAAACTGTCCCCAAACTGTCCCCAAAGTGTGCCCAGAGCCACAGCCCAGTGTAGGACAGAACCCCGGCCTGAGCACCCAAACCGTGCCAAACTGTCCCCAAACTGTCCCCAAACTGTCCCCAAACTGTCCCCAAAACTGTCCCCAAACTGTGCCCAAAATGTCCCCAAAACTGTCCCCAAAGTGTGCCCAGAGCCACAGCCCAGTGTAGGACAGAACCCCGGCCTGAGCACCCAACTGTGCCAAACTGTCCCCAAACTGTCCCCAAACTGTCCCCAAAACTGTCCCCAAAGTGTGCCCAAACTGTCTCCAAAACTGTCCCCAAAATGTCCCCAAAACTGTGCCCAAAGTGTGCCCAGAGCCACAGCCCAGTGTAGGACAGAACCCCGGCCTGAGCACCCAAACCGTGCCAAACTGTCCCCAAACTGTGCCCAAAACTGTCCCCAAACTGTCCCCAAACTGTCCCCAAACTGTCCCCAAAGTGTGCCAAAACTGTGCCCAGAGCCACAGCCCAGTGTAGGACAGAATCCCCCCAGTTCCCCCGTGCCTCAGTTTCCCCCGTTCCCCCGTCCCCCCCGTGCCTCAGTCCCCCCCGTGCCTCAGTTTCCCCTCAGTTCCCCCCGTGCCTCAGTTTCCCCCCGTGCCTCAGTTCCCCCAGTTTCCCCCCCGTTCCCCCCGTGCCTCAGTTTCCCCCCAGTTCCCCCAGTTCCCTCAGTTCCCCCCGTGCCTCAGTTCCCCCCGTGCCTCAGTTCCCCCCGTGCCTCAGTTTCCCCAGTTTCCCCCCCGTGCCTCAGCTGTTTCCCCGTCCCTCACCAGCACCAGCGCCTCCATTTTGCCTCCGCTGCTGCCGACGTGGAGCCGGAAGAGCGCCCGCCGCTGATTGGCTGCTCGTCTGCCAATCACTCCCGTTGGCCCCAGCCCGCTAGTTTGATTGGCCCAATTCTTCCACCACCCCACCAATCGCGGCGCGCTCCCGCGCGGTGGGCGGGGTAGTCTTTCCCGCGCTTCCCTAGACGGGCGTTGATTTGACAATCCAGCTGTCAATCACCGCAGCACGGCATTGCCGGAAGCGGAGGGGGCGGCACAGTTGCCATAGTGACCGGGGAAGCGATAACGTCACCGCTTTGCCGGGGCGGGGCTGTGATTGGCTGGGTCGGCGCGCACGTGACCGGAAGCGAGGCCACTTCCGCTGATGGCGCCCGGCGCGTGTCACCGGGAGGGGCTGAGGACGGAGATTTGGGGACACCGGGGGACACTTGGGGACATTAATGGGGACATTTGGGGACATTGGGGGACAGGGTTGGCACCTCTGTGTCACCCACCAGGGGCCGGGGACATTGGGGGACACTTTGGGGACACTTTGGGGACGCCCCGGGTGACAGCAGAGGTGGGGGGGCGGAGCCCGGCTGTGACTGACAGCTGAGGTGACCAATCAGGAGCAGAGCGCCACCCCCAGCTCTAAAATGAACGATAATGGTAAAAACCAATTAAAAAAAAAAATCCCAAGAGACATTTATTGAGGGGGGGTACAGGACACGGGGGGGATTCCGGCCACTCCGCTCCGGAACTACGGGGGGACCCGGGGGGACCCGGCCTCGGCGGCCCCGGGAATTCCGGGGGGATCCCGGGGGGTCCCAGCAGGGTCCCGGGGGGATCCGGGGGGATCCTGGCGTGTCCCAGGGGGTCCCGGGGGTCCCCAGAGGGTCCCGGGGCTCTCCCGGCCCGGCGCCGGCTCCAGGGGCCGCCCCGGCTCCCGCCCAGCTCCGGCTCCTGCGGGACAGAGAGGCGGGTCAGGAGCGGGATCGGGGTCGGGGTCGGGATCAGGATTGGGGTCGGGATCGGGGCAACGGCAGGGGCAGCGTCAGGATCGGGGCAGGGGCAGGATCGGGGTCAGGATTGGGATCGGAATCAGGGCAGGATTGGGATCGGGTCAGGGCAGGGTCAGCGCTGGGATCGGGATCGAGTCAGGATTGGAATCAGGTCAGGACTGGAATCAGGTCAGGGACAGCACCGGGATCGGGATAGGGTCAGCGCTGGGATCGGGATTGGGATCAGGTCAGGATCGGGATCGGGTCAGGGCTGGGATTGGGGCAGGGTCAGCATTGGAGTTGGGATCAGCACTGGGGCAGGCTCAGCATTGGGGTCAGGACTGGGATCAGGGCAGGGTCCGGACTGGGACTGAGGCACACTCAGCACTGGGATCGGGATTGGGGCAGGGTCAGGATTGGGGTCGGGGCAGGGCAGGGTCAGCGTTGGGATCGGGGCAGGGGCAGAATCGGGGTCAGGATTGGGATCGGAATCAGGACAGGATTGGGATCGGGATTGGGGCAGGGTCAGCGCTTGGATCGGGATTGGGATCAGGTCAGGATTGGGATCAGGGCAGGGTCTGGACTGGGACTGAGGCATGCTCAGCACTGGGATCAGGGCAGGGGCAGGACTGGGATCGGGATCAGGATTGTGATCGGAACTGGGGCAGGGGCAGGATCAGGGTCGGGGTCAGGATCGGGATCAGGAGCAGCTCCGGTGTTGGGGGCTCCAGGAGGGGCAGAGCCCCAAACCCAGCTCCAGTCCCTGCCCAGATCCCGGCCCCAATCCCTGCCCAGATCCCATTTCCTGCCCCAATCCCTGCCCCATTCCCATTCCCAATCCCAATCCATGCCCCAATCCTGCCCCATTCCCATCCCATCCCTGCCCCGATCCCGGCCCCAGCCCCGCTGCAATTCCCACCTCCCCTTTCCCCTCACTCCCATCCTTTTTCCACCTTTTTTCTGCTATTTCCCTATTTTCCATCACTTTCTCTCCCAATTCCTCTCACTTTTAACCATTTCCTCCATCTCTTCCCAACGTTTTCTCCTTTCCAACCTTTTCTCACTTCCCTCTTTTCTTTTTCCTCCTCCAATCTTCTTTTCCCCCTTTTTTCCCTTTTCCCCAACCCTTTCCCTTCATCCCTCCCACTTCTTCAACTTCCCTTCATCTTTCCCCAAACCTTTTTCCTATTTTCCCACTTTTCTGCCTGAACTTCCTCCCAATCTTTCCCTTCACCTTCTCCCCTGACCATTTAATCATTGCTTCTCTCAATTCCCTTCCCATTTTTCCCCATTTTCCCCCCCAATTTTTCCCACCTTTTTCCCATATTTTCCCCACTTTTTTTTCTATTTTTTTCCCCATTTTCCCCCCAATTTTCCCCGATTTTTCCCCCTCACCTGGCCGTTAAAACCTCCTTCCTCCTCCGTAGCTGCCGCCGCCGCTGGAGCTGCCGTAGCCACCTGTGGAACCAGGAGGGGATTTAGGGACACCAAAAATTGGGGGGGGACATTTGGGGACCCCCAGTTCGTTTTGGGGTCCTCCCTGCACATTTTGAGGCCCCCCAGGTTATTTTGAGGCCACCCCAATACAATTTAAGCTCCCTCAAGGTGATTTTTGAGGTCTCTCAGGCAGGTTTTGGAGTCCCCCGGGTGATTTTTGGGGTTCCCCAGGTGATTTTTGGGGTTCCCAGGTGATTTTTGGGGTCCCCCTGGTGATTTCTGGGGACTCACCACCACCACAGGGCCTTGAGCTGCGCCCCACAAAGTTGTCCCCCATACATTTGGGATATTCTGGGGATCCCCAGGGGGATTTTGGGGTTCCCCAGGTGATTTTTGGGGTCCCCTGGTGATTTCTGGGGACTCACCGCCACCACAGGGCCCTGAGCTGCAGCCCCCAAAGCTGCCCCCGGTACATTTGGGATATTTTGGGGTTCCCCAGGTGATTTTTGGGGTTTTTGGGGACTCACCGCCGCCGTAGGGCCCCGAGCTGCGCCCCCCGAAGCTGCCCCCGGTACATTTGGGATATTTTGGGGTTCCCCAGGTGATTTTTGGGGTTCCCCAGGTGATTTTTGGGGGATTTTGGGACTCACCGCCGCCGTAGGGCCCCGAGCTGCGCCCCCCGAAGCTGCCCCCGGTACATTTGGGGTATTTTGGGGTTCCCCAGGTGATTTTGGGGACTCACTGCCGCCGTAGGGCCCCGAGCTGCGCCCCCCGAAGCTGCCCCCGGTACATGTGGGATATTTTGGGGTTCCCCAGGTGATTTTTGGGGTTCCCCAGGTGATTTTGGGGTTCCCCAGGTGATTTTTGGGGGTTTGGGGACTCACCGCCGCCATAGGGCCCCGAGCTGCGCCCCCCGAAGCTGCCCCCGGTACATTGGGGATATTTTGGAATTCCCCAGGTGATTTTTGGGGTTCCCCAGGTGATTTTTGGGGTTCCCCAGGTGATTTTTGGGGGTTTTTGGGGACTCACCGCCGCCGTAGGGCCCCGAGCTGCGCCCCCCGAAGCTGCCCCCGGTACATTTGGGATATTTTGGGGTTGCCCAGGTGATTTTTGGGGGTTTTGGGGACTCACCACCGCCGTAGGGCCCCGAGCTGCGCCCCCCAAAGCTGCCCCCGGTACATGTGGGATATTTTGGGGTTCCCCAGGTGATTTTTGGGGTTCCCCAGGTGATTTTGGGGTTCCCCAGGTGATTTTTGGGGGTTTGGGGACTCACCGCCGCCGTAGGGCCCCGAGCTGCGCCCCCCGAAGCTGCCGCCCTTCATGGGCCCGAAGCTCGAGGCCTGGTTGTTGTAGCTGCCGAAGTCGTTGTAGCTGCCCCCGCCCCCGAAATTGCTGCCTGGGGGGACAGTGGGGTCAGGGGGACATTGGGGTCAGGGGGGACAGCGGGGTCAGGGGGGACAGTGGGGTCAGGGGGGACAGTGGGGTCAGGGGGGACATTGGGGTCAGGGGGGACATTGGGGTCAGGGGGGACAGGGAGCACCCAGGGGTGCCCCGTGCTGGGAGCACTGGGAGAGTTGGGATCCTCGGGGCTCTGGGGTGGCTGAACTGGGAGCCCAGGGGGCTTTAACTGGGATCCCAAACCCCCGTGATCTTTGGGGGGCAGCAGACCCCAAACCTGCCGTGATCTTCGGGATGGGTTCCCCGGGATCCCAAACACTCGGTGACACCTTCCCCTGAGACCCCAAACCCGCTGTGATCCCGTCCCAGAAACCCCAAACACCCCACGATGGGTTCCAGAGACCCCAAATCCCCCGTGATGTGTTCCCAGAGATCCCAAATCCCCCATAGTGGGTTCCAGAGGCCCCAAATCCTCCATGGTGGGTTCCAGAGACCCCAAATCCCCCACGATGGGTTCCAGAGACCCCAAATCCCCCGTGATGTGTTCCCAGAGATCCCAAATCCCCCATGGTGAGTTCCAGAGACCCCAAATCCCCCATGGTGGGTTCCCAGAGATCCCAAATCCCCCATGGTGAGTTCCAGAGATCCCAAATCCCCTGTGACGGGTTCCAGAGACCCCAAACCCCCGGTGATGGGTTCCAGAGACCCCAAATCCCCCATGGTGGGTTCCAGAGACCCCAAATCCCCCATGGTGAGTTCCAGAGATCCCAAATCCCCTGTGACGGGTTCCAGAGACCCCAAACCCCCGGTGATGGGTTCCAGAGACCCCAAATCCCCCATGGTGGGTTCCAGAGACCCCAAATCTCTCATGGTGGGTTCCAGAGATCCCAAACCCCCCGTGATGAGTTCCCAGAGGCCCCAAACCCCCCATGATGGGTTCCAGAGATCCCAAACCCCCGGTGATCCCATCCCAGAGACCCCAAACCCGCTGTAATCCCATCCCAGAAATCCCAAATCCCCCATAGTGGGTTCCAGAGGCCCCAAATCCCCCATGATCGGTTCCCAGAGACCCCAAATCCTCCATGATGGACTCCCAGAGACCCCAGACCCCAATGACTCCTTCCCCAAACCCCAGAGACCCCAGAGCCCGGTGAGCCGCTCCCACAGCCCTGCGGTGCCCCACAGCCCCCGGTGCCCCACAGCCCCGCGGTGCCCCACAGCCCCCGGTGCCCCACAGCCCCCGGTGCCCCACAGCCCCACAGTGCCCCAC